CCTATGTCATAAATTATCAGTCATTCAGTTACTAAAATCTTGTACAGCATGGCCAGGAGAGATTATGTGTGTACTCTTGTCTCTGTCTTCTGGTGAACGTATGTGTGCATGAAGGTTTAGTCATAATATACATGTACTCCAGTTCAGCAAATGCTACCACACGGTTTCCAGCATAGCTGTACCTCTTTGCACTCATACTGTGCAGGAATGTATGAGAAGTCAAGTGGTTCCACACCCTTGTCAGCGTTTGATGATATCTAACCTTTACATTTTTATCCATTCTGATGGATATTTAGTGGTTTCTTATGGTTTTTTTTTAACTCCTGTTTCTATGATAATTAACAAGAATAAATACGTTTGTATGTATTTTCTAGCCTTTCCAAAATATAGTTGATCCTACACATCCCTCAAATTCAACAAACAATTGCAGTTTTAAAATATTCTGGAGAAATAGTTTTAGAAATCAGAACTTGAATTTTTATGCATTGAGCACTCTGTGAGTCCCCAGAGTAAAGCTATCCCTTCTATACCTGCCCACCGTTTTTCTGTTTTGTGTGTCTCTCCATCACTTGTCCTTTGAGCTCTGTTCACCTCCAGTATCAGCTGTGCCTAGACATGTTTTCCCTCATCACTCTCTAAACAATGCGGTATAACAACTGGTTACATAGCGGTTACATGACATTCAGTATTATGAGTAATCTATAGATAAGATATGTAGGTTATATGCAAGTATACCATTTTATTTCATTATTTTTATAGAAATGAAGATTTTGTTGTCCATGAGATATCCTGGAATCTGCAGGAACTTCCTGTAGACACAGACACTGAGTAACAATTGAATCTTTTGTAAACTACTATTCTAATTCCTTGACCTTTTGAATTTGTTGTTTTGCTGTTGCTGGTTTGTAGTTCTTTATGTATTACACTGAGTCCCCATCACACACATGCAAAGCAGATACCTTCTCCCATCTGCCAGCCGCTTTTCCTCTCCTAATGATGTCTTTTAAGAGAAAGAAGTTCTTAGTTTTGTTTTGTGGGGGTTTCTTTGTTTTTCCTTTATTTGAGTTTTCTTGTTTGCTTGTTCATTTGCTTTTAGTTTGTTTTTTTGTTATTTGGATTTTTGGGGTGTTTGTTTTTGCTTTTGTTTTTGTTTTGGGACATAAGACCTCACATAGCCCAGGCCGCTTTTCACCATAATATTACCTGAGGATGACTTTGAGCTCTTGATGTTCTTGTCTCCTGAGTGCTAGAATTACAGGCCTGTTTTGATATAAATTAACTTATTTTGGGGTCTTTTTTATGGTGGGTGTTCTTTTGTGTTCTGCCTAAGAAATCTTTGCACTATAGCCTTGGTAGTGTGTGTGCTGCAGTTGGAAGGGAACAGAAGACAAGCATGGCATTTCTACAGTGTCCCTTCAACTTTCATGGGTGGGGCAGGAGACTTGCTGTGTTTGTGAGCTTGGCTGGTTGTTTGCTTGGTTTTTCTGAGGCAGGTTTTCACTATGTAGCCCAAGATGTCTTTACACACACAATCCTCCTGCCTTTGCCTGAGTCTAAGTTTATAGGCAGGTGGCATTGTGGCCAGCTCTCCTGTTTTCTTTTTCCATGTCTTCCATTCAGATACAGATTTATTCTCCATCAAGAACTGATTCTTTGTATGATTGGGATATGGTAATGTATATGGTAATAGATCATAAAATCCAACCTTTCCCTACCGTACAGATGATACCTTCGCCATAAACTAAGGAAGTTATCATGTTTGTATAGGTTTTTTTTTTCTTACTACATACATTTTCTTATATTCATAGCTGCCTAAGGTTAGGGGTGGCATTGAATCTGTGAGTTAGTTTAAGCAGAATTAATACCGTCTTTGAGTCTCCGTTCCTTGGTCATGTTATATCCTTCCATTTAAGGCACTTTTTACTTTTGTAGTTCTATAGTTTTTAGGTAGACATTTCACTAACCTTTCAAGAAAGCAAGTTAGGTGAGGAAGCGGTCAAGTCATCCTGCTTATTACAGCTGGTCTGAGAGACAGAATACTAGAGAGTACTTGTATTGGAGCTTTTGAAGCTTGATGGGAAAGCTGCAGCCAGCTTAAGAAAGATAGTTCCAGGATCTTTTCAGGATGGGAAAGGTTCCTGTATCCCGAGACTCAGAGAAGAGAGCTTGGAAACACCATTGACTGAAAGGAAAGGGACTTGGCGGGGTTGCCCAGAGGCTACAGGAAGGAGGTTAAAGGGTACTGTGGGGTCATTTTGAGGCAGGATATTTTGTATATGGTGTCACCTTAGTAACAGTGACAGTTTCCTAGACTGGTAAGCACGACCACACCTCTCGGCACCAAACCCCACATGTGGAGTCTTCATGTAATCCAGTCTGCATTTGGAAATCTGGACTTGTTTTAGCAGAGTATACACTTTCTGTTTGCTCTACTGGAGATAATGTCTCTATATCCATTTCCATTTGTCCCTCCTTTGGGATCTAACTGAGATGAAGGTTTAGTAGAAAGCAGCTCTTCCACAAAATCTTTTTTTAAAAGCCACAGCCTCACTCAGATGCATATATCACAGAGAGAGAGAGAGAGAGAGAGAGAGAGAGAGAGAGAGAGAGAGAGAGAGAGAGAATGCCAGAGTCTCACTCACGTGAGCACACTATACACATACAACATTCTTAACCTCCAGTGATCCTCTAGCCTTGGCATCCCAGGTAGCTGGAACCCCAGGAATGCCCCACCAAAGTAGTTCTTCCATAAAACCTTGCAGTATCCAAACGACTGGAAGAACATTTTTCGAATGGATATTTACATATGAGGAAAGTAGGGTGCTGCAATATGGAACTTCAAGCTCACATTACAGAAGGATCTCGCTGACTCAACCTGCCTAATGCTGCAACCCTTTAATACAGTTGCTCAGGTTGTGATGACCCTAGCCATAAAATTATTTCCATTGCTACCTCAATTCTGTGATTTTGCTACTGTTATAAATTGTAATATAAGTATTCTTGGGGCTAGAGGGTTGTCAAAGGGGTCGCGACCCCCAGGTTGAGAAATGCTGCTCTAAAACCATGCCCTAAGATAGATAATTCCTCCTTTAAGTTGTTTTTAGAAGATATTTTGTCCCAGCAAAAAGAAAAATCTATTCCAAAGCCCATAGACACCATGTTATTAATGTAGCAATCTTCTGTTAGTGTGTGTCTACAGGGCTTTCCTGTCTTAAAAATATCTCTGTGGGTACTGGGGATGGGGCTCAGAGTGTTTGCCTAGCATGCACCAGGCCCTGGACTCAATCCCCTGAACCTCCAAACACAAAATATATTTTTTTTTCTTAGCTCTTCTTGTATTTACACATCAGAATGAATTTTAGGGTCAATTATCAAATTCCAGAAACAGTTTTTGGGATTCGACTTGGAAACACAGTGCACTGTTTGGTGAAAATAGATGAGTTTAGCTCCTGTCCTAGATTTTTAAAAGACGCACCAAGACTTAGCATGGTGTAAGTGGCCCTGAGTTCCCAGGTCACGGTCAGCAGCCAGCAGAGAGAAGCCTGCTAGTCTCACCTGGCTGTTGTACTTGAGAAGCACACTCTAGCTCACTCTGGCTCAGAACATCCGGAGGCTGACAGACAGTGGCATTCTCTTTGCCATCTAATCTGCTCTTCCTGGGTGATCTTATGTAGTTAATAACAGTAATTACAAGTTAACCTTTGCCAGGCATTTTCACATGTCATTGTCATTAAATCCTCTAAAACAGCACTGTGAAATGTTGCTGCTCCACCCTCCAGCAGAGAAGAGAGGTCAAGGGGACATCAGCTGAGACCGAAGCCTCCCAGGCACCTGGGTTCTAAACTCTCTTGCACTCAAGTTTTCAGTTCCCCCTTCCTTTCCTGGAGCCCTGCCTGGTATTTGAAAATACCCATCTTCCCGTCTCACTCCTCAGCCAGCACTGTCACGAGTGGTTTCCCTTCTCCTCAGAACCCTACTCTGAGAAGGCTGCGATGTGCACCCCTCCTCTCCCCCGGCTCCTCCCTCTCAGCCCCATTTCATTCCACCTTGTGCTTACAACAGCCACTTCCTGGCTGTTGCCTTCTGCTTAGTCAACAGCTTCTTTTTTTTTTTTTTTTAACATTCTGTGTCATCTTCTAAGAAGCTGGAGGCAGTCTTGCCACTGCCATTCAAAACTACAGGGTCTCCTTGTACTTTGCACGAGATTGGCTCCACGCGTGGAGATCTAGCTCCACGCACAGTCTGGCCCTCAGCTGTCTCTTCAACTCCATCTTCCTCCACCACAGCCCACTGTAGGTAGGCTCCAGCATCCTGAACGGGGCTTTCTTTCCTCTGATCTCCCAAACAACTCTGCTTTGGCTCTGGAGACCCAGATCTTAGCCACCTTTAGTGACTCCTTCTCAGGCTCCTCAGAGTGAAACAAGTGTACATTTTCTCTCACAGCATGTCCTTAGCTGTGCTGGGTTGTGGTGTGCTTGTTGACGTGTTTGCTCTGCCATCAGCCTACAAGGAGTTTCAGGACAAGGACTGTGACTGCTAGAGGTTTAGAGAACTGCCCAGTGGGTACTAAGAACAGCAGAACATTGGGAATGTGTCTCTCCTCAGCGTTGGGCTATGGTATCTGTCAAAATAATCTCCTCAGCTAACTAAGCAGTCTAAGGGCCCTGCTGAAACAGCCATGTGCAGCAAAGGGAAATCTCCCTTGGGCAGAAACACCACACAATGCTGAGATCCTCAACCCACTGGTGCTTGTGAGATTGGAACAGTGAACACAGCCGTCCCCATGAAGTCAGAACTACAAGTTACAGTGTTTGGCCAGGACTTAATCCTGACTTTTCTGGACTCTATTTTCATGGTTAGAGTCTCGAAGCCTGCATGTTTGATCATTCATTTGGATGCAGGGAGGTCAGCTCTATTTGTCTTTCTTGCCTGAAGAATCCCCACTCCCAACACAAGTAAGCTGCCCTCTGCCTCAGCTCCATCTCTCCTTTCTCTTTCAGCTTCAGAGTGAGCTGGAGAAAGTTGAAGGGGACAATGCAGAACTGCAGGAGTTCGCCAACACCATCCTCCAGCAAATAGCCGACCACTGCCCTGACATCCTTGAGCAAGTCGTCAGTGCCCTGGAAGAGTCCTCCTGACGTGCTCCAAGGAGGCTGACCAAGGAGCTAGGAAGGAGAATGTGAGGGACTTCGGTGTCGGAACCGCCTCCACCCCAGACCCTGCCAGCTGGATGTGTGAGTCCAGCCGTTTGTATCTCATCACACTCTGCCTCTACTTTGAATGTTGTCTCTGCGCAAGTCTCCTTGGTCTCCGTGAAGAACTGCCCTGTCATCAGCAGAAGGGAGCTGGGGAGGCTGGCAGCTCTGCCCTTCCCGGAACAGGAAACAAGAAGCCCACTTGCCTCATCTGGAGTTCTGTGCTTTGAAAGCTCCGTGCTGAAGCCTTAGGATGAGTCCTTTCTGCTCAGAGGGTAGAGAAGGGAACAGTGGCCAGGGACAAGGAGAGGGTGCTGCCCTCATGTTTACCAGCCTTGCTGTCATGACCGTCAGATGGAGGCAGGCCTCACTGTGAACCCCGGCCTGTTCCCTGTCTCACTTGCGCTGCTCTCAGCTGGCGGGAGGATGATGTCCACAGTGGTCACCCACTCGCTCTTGTTAAGACCTTCCCACACTTGGCTGTCAGGTCAGTGTGACCTGCTGAGAAGAGGCTTTAACATGAAGGGCCCTGTTGTCACTGCTTGCAGCTTTGCTCCTCCAGAGACGATGTCCCACGGGGCCATGCCGATCCTCCTGAACATTGCCTACAGTGCAGTCTGTCCCTCCACCTTGCCCCAAGCTACTTAGAACAGGGTTGTTAGGGCGTGTGATCCCTGCCCACCTTCTCAGTCTACTCTTAAGGTACATCCTCAGGGTCATAGCCTCATGCCCTACCTAGAAACTGCTTTTGACACAACTGAGTTTGTCTTATCTCATTAACATCCCTCCCTCCCTCCTTTCTTTGATTCATTCATTCATTCATTCAGAAAGTATTATGAAATGTCTGCTGTGTGCATACAGCGTGAGAGGCTGTATTTTCCACCCTTGGAAAAGCCTCTGATAGGGAGTGGTGTGGGGACCCCTGAAACATGCTCAGTTGAGCCGTGGCAGTGAAAGCATAGCTTCTCCCTCCAGCTTCCTGACCTGCAGTCTTTGTCCTCAGTGGGCTTGGCTGACTGAGCCCCTCTTTGCCTGCGAGGTCCCGTGTGGCAGCTGAGGATCATTGCTGTCAGTGTTGTCCCCCTGAGAGGTGTTGTGTGTAGGGGCTGTACTGACCATTCGTGTCAGCTGACTGCACCTGTGCGTGCACACCCCATGGACACGGCAGCACCACGCTGCAGCCAGGTGCAGAGGACAGTGCCATAAGATAATGGCCTGAGAATAGACAGCCTAGCAGGCACCCAGCCCTGCGTGCTCTGAAGCGGACACCTGGAGATGCCCCACCAGCTGCCTCCTCTCTGCCCAGCTACACTCTCAGAAGGATTTAATGCTGCCTGTAAGTCCCTCACAGCCCTCCACCCGGGACCTCACGCAGCTGCCACTACTCCACATTCAGTCACTTCCCCGTTCCCCTTCTTCCCTGCCATACAGTGTTCACTTGTGTGAGACGCCTAGGTCTGAGTGGACTCTGCCAGGAGCCAGAGTGATGATCGCTGCTGCTCAGTTCTCTCAGTTCTTTTTAATTGTCCCATCCATAAATCCCACAGACAACACCGTATTTCAGGATAGGATTTTACACCCATAACAACTGGAACCACCACCTAGTAACAGCTTCACCAGCTATGGTGGAATCCAGAAAACAGTCCCGGTCCACAGGCACAGCCTGGAGCTGACACTGGCCAGCTTGGGGACCACCCCAGACAGACTCCTTGCTGTACCCACTTGGTCTTTGTCTGCCACTCTTTACCTGCTTCCTTCTCTCCGTTTTACAACTTTTCTCCATCAGGTCCCTCCACAGAGGCTGCGGGAAGGCAGATTTGTGGGACAGACATTATCTGATCTCTGCATAGCAAAGGGGTCTCCTCCTCGGGTGGTAATCCTGTGACTCAAATGGTTCTGGAGACTGTGGAGTTTTTGTGGTAGGTGAGGCTAATAGGTTATCTGGCATTCATATCTTGCTGACTTTACGTCATTCACTTAGTCAGAATTCACTAAACGCCTAGCTGCCATTGCACTAGGACATGTCATCCCGTGACGGTCTTCATGCACTTAGGGTCCTCAAGACATCTGGCCTTGAGAGCTCACTGCAGGCTGGCTAGGACCATCCCCATCACCTCCATCCACTGTCAAGCCTCATACCCTTTGCACCTAACATCTCTACCCCAAATGAAGGCCGTCATGAAGATGCAGTAAGAAAATGAGGGCTGGAACCCAGCGTGGGGCTCCTCCTAAAGCAGCAGCATATGAGCCCCGCATCCCAGGTCTTCAGTGAGTGACTGACTGGTGGCACATCTGAACGGGATTAGCAACGACTTAAAGACCGTTAGAGATGGACAAGTCTGAGTGGGCTTCAGCAACCGGAAATGTGGAGGGCATCCTCCAGTTCCCGTCAGCCTTGTTTCTCATGCATCTTCTTGAGGCCTGAGCGTGCCTCTTCCTCACCTGTGGGCCTTAGAAGTTCTAGGAAAGCAGACTGGGCTGTGACGACCGACGGTGTTGCAGGTCAGGCTGTGACTGGCCATATCCCATCCATCTGTTTGGCCTCCTGGGAAGAATATGTTGGCTGACTTTCTCCCTCGGGAGAGATGACGTCAGTGCAGATGGTTCTCACGTGCTACCGTCCTGCCCCTCCACTGCTGACCCTCCTGTGTGACTGAAGCACAGGCCCACTGGCCTCCCTCCAGGTCTTTGAAAAAGGGCAAAGCAAGGATGTGTCGCTAGTGGAATGGGACACCCACAGGCCCGAGTCCCAGCAGACCCCATGTCAGCAGTGCCCGTGACTCTCACGCCTGCCTCCCCAGCCTCCCCTCCTGCCTGCAGAGTCCAGAGCCCAGGAAAGGAAGCAAGAAGGATGAGCTGCACCACAGGCCTGCTGGGCACCCGCCATCACTGCCAGTCTCGGAGCTTTGGACCAGTCCAAGGCATGTTCCCTCCTGTGAACCACGAGGATGTCCAGGGAAGAAGAAAGCACACGGGACCTGGGGATCCTTCTGAACAAAATGGCTGTCTTTACTCTTTCCAAACAGAAACTTTCCAAACTTTTAGTGTCAAAATTGTAACCAAGTGTCTCCTGATTCTTCCCAATGTGTTTGGCAAGTGCTGTGACCCTATTGTAGGTACTTCTCCTGCCTCTTTTGAGGGAGAAGTGATTTTTAGGGGTTGATTTGGGGGAGCGGGTTATCTGTCCCGTCCCGCCACCTCTTTTGTTTCTCTGCTTGTTGATATTGTCTGTGTGATTCAGAGAACTGGGGCAGTTACATTGTGTCCATTGTTGAAAATATTAAAATATTAAAAAGTAGTTATAGAACTGAAAAATTAAGGAGCTTTGTTTTTAAAAATGCAAACCCATAAATAATCATGTTAACGAAGGAATTCAAGCTATGGGCAGCCTAGCTCCTCCCACTCCAGGTTGGTGAGGTGGTAGCCAGGCCAGCCCCTGGGAAACACACTGACCATAATTGAGGTAGGTGACTACCTAAGAACAAGAGACACCCACTCTGTGGAGAAATGAAAATCTGGGGCTCCAAGACTCTCAGTCACGTCAGGGTTTTCTGTACATCCTCAGGACCTCTGGGTAGAGTTTTCAGCATTGTTGAGGGTGACCTGAGGATCACCCTCCCCTCACATGGGATCAAGCCTTGTGTGCCTAGTGCTGTGTGGTAACCTGGGCTTGGGCCTGCTTGCCAGACCACAGGACCTTTTCCTGCCCACTTGGTGCTATTTCATCGTGGCCATTCCACAGGGCAGCCTAGTTAGTCTCCAGAGCCTGCAGGCCAGTGCCATGGATGGCCCTCAGAGCCTGGCTCTCTCTGGCTTCAAATCCCCAATTCTTCTCTTTGAAGCTTTTTAGACTCAAACCCCCTTGGCTCCAGAGATGCCAGAGTCAAGAAAGGAAGTGAGCCAGGCTGAGGCAAGGAGATCCACCCTCTGCCACAGTGAGCACACCAGCCAGGCCCCTCTACCCTGCCACACCAGTATTAAATCCATCCTTGAAAGCATCTGGGCCTGCCTGAGGCAAATGCCAGCCATTGCGCCGGCTTCCCAGTGCAGACCAGGAACCTGTCTTGCGTAGCAGGCTGTCCCAGGATGGGGAATTTGGCTTTGTTCTGCACCCTTGAAGCCTTCAGAAGAGGCATGTTGCACTTTAGTGGGGAGCCCAGAACGCTGGGCACTGGCTTCCTGTAGCTTGAGTCCCTGTAGGTAGCAGTGGTGGCAGCCTGGTGGCTTGTGTGAAACAGCTGCAGCTGCTGCCTTCAACTGTGCACATGCGTGCAGTTACTAGCGTCGAATTGCCGGCCTGATGATGACATTACAAAGACATTGTGTTCTGTTCAATTTTGCCTTGGTAATTATTGTAAACACTCTGTTTGATTTTTTTTCTTTTTTATTCACGAACTAAATCCATCAGGAAATTATAAACTTATTTAAAAACTGTGTGCTGCAGCCTTCTTTAGTCTCTGCCAGCCTGGTCACACCCCTGTGACGAGACTGGATACGGTCTGGAAAAGCAAGGCCCAGCAGTCCCCAGGAAGCCATCTCCAGCGGCAGACTAGAATCTGTGTGCTCCAGGTTCGAGGAGCTCCACGGCAGACTGGCCTGCTGACGCACCCTTAGATTCGCACCCCACTCTGATTATCGCCCAACGTCCACTTCCAACCCTCTTCCCACCCTATTCCCAGTCAGGCCGTGCAATTAGCTCTGACTACATTATGAAAGTGTCCATTACCCAGGACTAGAATAGTTTACACCACGAAGGCAGAGGAACAGGTGTGGCCAGCACTGGGATTTCAGGGGTGCTCTGACGGCCACCTTAGATGCGGGCTGCATCTGTCACCGCATCACCAACACCAAGAGTAAAAGAGCCAGGAGACCCATGCATAATTGTGGACATCATTGTCCCCTCTGGCCCAGCTTGAGACCTTGTGCCCATAAGAAGTGTTCTGGGGCATTTTAGAGAGCACATTCTGGTTAGCTTCATATCTGTGCCTGTCTTAGGAAGGAAGAAACCCATGCTGTGCTTGGCACATTGGCTCATGCCCGTATCCCCAGTACTCAGGAGTCTGTGGGGGAGGATGAGCTGGAGACCAGCCTGGGCCACATAGTGAGACCTGTCTGCTCCCTCTCCCGTCTGTGGAATTATGGCACTTGGCTGAGGGAATCAAGCAGGTCTTTTTCCTGGCAGAGCAGCTGTTTAGACAGACAGACAGGCAAAGGAGTACCTGGCCCTATTCTCCACTGGGGAAGGGCGCTGTGCCTGGTCGCGTCATGAGAAGTGGGAACAGGTGTGACTAGCAGAATGGCCCCTGTGCTGCACAGCACACAGCCACAAGCACAAGCAGAGCACACTAGTCAGCAGTTTCCAGAGTTCCCCATTCATTTTTGTAAACTGACTTATTCACTCCGTTGTCAACCAGAACTTCGCTGCAGAGGGTCCCAAGCTTGCATATGGTGCACAGAAACCCACGCGGGTACACACCAACGTTTTTTAAAATGGGAATAATGAAAACAGACGTGAGGATAAAGCATAATTATGTTTGCCTTCATGAAAGCTCCTTGATAGCACAAGGTTATTCTTCTGCATACCTGTGAGCTGCGGTTTTAAAAGACTCAGCTGTGTGTTGGAGGGGGTGAGGAACAGGATGTAGCTGCAAAGAGATTGGCCCGCCAGTGGGTGCGTGGAGCTGGGTATCAGGTTCTCAAGGTCTACTAGTAAACCGCGCTCCCTCTTCTGAGGGGTGTGAGAGATCTCCCTGATCAGCCTCAGAGACCACATGTCTCTACTGTGCTTTCCCGTTCACCACACATGAGCCCCTTCCCCAGGATCACGCATCCCATTCAAAAATGGCTTCCGTGACCACTGGAGTCACCTGGGTACACAGACCAGTACTATCAGCCTGTTGGCTGACTGGCTGCTAGATTCTGGTGATGGCCTGCTGTACCCCATCCCCACAGCAGTCCCTAGCGAGAACCCACTACCCATTTCATAGATGAGGCACAGACAGGACAAGAACCTTAGTCCAGCCAGCATGGCTTGGCTGAAGACCCAGACATGATAGCTACAATGTGGCTCTATGATGGAATGTGCCCTGTATGGGGAAAGACCTCTGCTGTCCTGAGTAAGTGCCAGCTGGGGAGAGCAACACCTCAGCTGTCCCCGGTTGTCCACACAAACTCATAAGACAGGAACACCTCCCCTCTCCAGGATCTGGAAGGGAGAAGCTGCTAAAGCAGAACAGAGGCCCCGCACAGAGCAGTGTCCGTCAATATGGGATCCGCTGCCTGCTATGGATTCACCTCTGCCTTTTCTGCTAAAGAAGCCAGAATGCAAGCTAAGTAGCCCAGAGCTACACGGTCAGCTAGTGGGAGGCCTGGTCAATGGGTTTCCAGGCTTTTCTGGCTCCTCACAGAGCCCATGGTCCTGTCGTAGGGTCATGGCGTGGTGGCATCAGACAGACTCCTGCCAGCCGCAGAAGGGTGGAGGCATCAAGGCCATGTTGGCTAGGGGTTCAGTGGACATAGAAATGATGTGTCTGACCGGCTCCCTATCAGGTTGGATATGAGTCACACAGTCTTGTGTTGTTAGGCTTCGGGCATCATTGGGTTCCTGAGAATCAGGCAATTAATCACCGTCCTAGCTATCTTCAGGCTAAACTTTCCCAGGAAGGAAGGATGTAGGCTGGTAACACCACACCAATGTTCCTGACACGTACATCACCCTTTTCTGCATCTTCTTAGGAGTAGACAATTTCCACACAGCACACAATGGCTTATGAGGTGCCGTGGTGTGTTTGTTTGTCCCAAAAGTTCATGTCTTTGAAACTTCCAAATTTATGTTGATGGTATTAGCGGTAAGGCTTTTGGAAGGCAATTAGTGTTCAGTGAGGTCATAAGAGAGGCACCCCAGCTGGCACACTACCCCATCACCAATATGGTGTCTTTTGTTGTGTTAGCATGTACTCTACCGGGTACAAGATGATGTCAGCCCTATGTGCTCAGACTCCCAGCCAGATCAATCTCATCCCTTATGACTTGCACTCTCAGATAGCATGATACAGCCTCAGAAAGTGGACTAAGACACAGGTGGCACAGAACATCCACGCTGGCGTGGGACACCCACAGCCACGGGCCAGGCCCACTGTGTTATATTGTTCTCCCCAGCTGTTTCTACAACTGCATGCTGACTTTCCCACAAGGCCATGCCTTCTAGGTGGAGCTGTCTCTAAGCGAGACAGACAGATGGAGACAGAATACTGGTCCTACTAAGCTGAGGAAGAACCAGCGGAAACCTTGACCATGCCAGCAGGTGCACAAGGAGCTAAGGTGTAGAACAGATTCTCAGCTGAGCTTTGCCGCTGCCTAAGTGTGTGGCCTCAGAGACATCACCTTTGACATCCAGCATGTATGTCTTTTTACAATAGACATAGTGCACCCACACACACACACACACACACTGCGCATGTTTATAACATGCAAACAAGAGGATACACATCTAGGCAATGACTCAGAGGAGAGCACTTGCCCAGTGTGTGCGACCTGTGTGGTCCATTCCCACAACGTGGCGGGGAATGAACGAGAAAGCATCGAGCACACGGCAATGAGGAGGAGGGCTTGATACCTGACAACCATTTGTTGTCCTAAACTCACTTCAGAGCCTAAGCTCGCTTTGGAAACCCATGGGCAAGCAGACAACATGCTTTGCCCTTCAGAAAGGGTGCTGCTGTCTGAGCAGATCCGCTTCGAGACCCATCGAGACTGCCTTCCTGCAGTTCCCTGGGTGTGGTCCCCAGTTTCTCCCCCAAGGGAGTCAGATGCCAACAACCATCTTGTCCTTCCTCAGCATCTGGGCCCCATTGCCCTGCTTTGTCCCCTCCCTTCGCGAGGATGGGCTCCTGAATAGGAACTCTGCCTGCCCGGGCTCTTAGTCACTGTGACAAATGAGACACAGGGAGCCTGGAACCCAATATGGGATTCTTTGGCTAGGCCATCCTGTCATGGATTCAGGCCTCAGCATGCTGACATCCTTTTTGGGATGTTTCTAAGCTCCCAGACTTTAATGTTCAGAGGACACCAGAGTGAGGTCAGCCTCAGAGTGAGTGGGACCTTGATCTCCACCCTCTCCTTCAGGGACCTGTATCTTGCTTTTCTTCACCTGTCTCCTCATTGGCCACAAACCCCTGTAAGCAAGGACCATCCCTTCTCCTGAGTCCTCTGCAGGCCTATGCACAGCCCCGAGCTCACCACTCAATTAAAAAGGACTTGCTTCCCACTAGCTTCTTAGCCCAACATGTTCTTCCCCACAGTTGGCCCAGCTTTAGCTCCAGCTTCTTGATGTCAGGTGGGAAATCCTGCCCCCCCCCAACCCCCCACATACATACTCCCACCTCCAGGCTGTGGGGCTGCCATTAAGGCTGTGGTCGTGATAAGCCACAGGTGGAGCCTGTCTGTCCTGAGAAGCAGCTTGGAGGGAGACAGCTGGGCTCTGACCCTGCTGCTCAGGGTCCTGGGTGAGGCTCCCACCATCTGGGGCCTCCTCTCCTCCCCTGCCCCAAAACCCTGGTCCACCCAGCCACCCCCAGGAATTCCCACAGGGGTTTCTAAGAAGCTGACCCTGCCTTGGGGGAAGGGAGCAACATCCTGGCATCCGGTGCAGGTAGCGGTCCTCTTGGGCTCATCGGATGTCCTGGGAACTTGCCAGGGATTGAAACGTAACCAGCGTTCTCCGGAGCATGAGTGTGTGCGCACAGCGAACGTGTGCGGCCCTGCCTTCTTCGCACATGTGTGCACACGGCGTATGTGTGCAGCTGTGCCGACACATACGCAGTGGAGTCAGCCAAGTGAGGGTCTCCACGTTAAAAAGGAAATGAGTAAACAGCGTCGACATTTTTGTTTCCCTCCGAGGCTTGCAAAGAAGGTGTTAAGAGCACAAGATTTAAATCATAAACTTTGTGAAAAGGCCAATGGCCTAATGCGCGACTCTTGCCAACTTGGACGTGGTCCTCAGGGTAACGCTACACTGAGCTAACGCAGAAGGAATCGTGGGAGGGAAAGGCAGGATGGGAGCAAGCCGCAGAGTCAACCAAGGGCAGACCAGCTGGAGCCCGGAGGGCCTCAGTGCCTTTTTCTAGTTCCCCCCTATAGCTGTCTTGGCTGATAGAGCCTCTGTCAGGCCTAAAGGCTTCACAGCAAGGTAGGGGAGACCTACTCCCAAGAGACCCAGAACAGGCCCAAATCGCCCATAGAATAATTGCTTAACGCTCAGGAGAGACCGCCAGAGGGCCTGCCAACTTGGACCTCTCACCTCTGAGGAGTCCTGTTCCTCTCTAGCCATCTCCAAAGACAAGCTGCCTCTTCCACGGGTGCAGGAACTGTGCTCCGCACTGCACAAGATGCCCAGGTGCAAATGAGCCCCCCTTCTCATATGGAAATTAAACCGA